GTCATGCCTTGCAAAAAAATGTATTATCATCGGGACTGAACCTACATGCCAAATTTCAATCTCCTACAATAAAAGAAAGTGGTTTTAATTTAGCTTACAAGATTTGCCCCGAACAAACATACATACATACATAGATAGTTACATACAAAGCAAGTTAAATAAAAGCTTATAAAACTAGCCTCCAATGAGGAAACTAAATAAAAAAATGGTCACTTGGCATTAGCAAGCCTCCAAATAAGTAGTCTTCATCGTTTTGAAAAGCACTAAAGTGTGAATATACTTTTGAATTGAACATTAATTTTGAATTGAATTGAAAATTAAACAGACTATATTTTGAATTATTTCCATAATTATTTGTGCAACCAGCAGCCGCACATCCCGGAAAACCTTTTCCCATTCCATCAATATAAATAAAATTGAAATAAAAGCACAAATACCTATGGTTAAATATAAGAAAAAAAATCGAATTAAAATCTTCCGTAATACGGCCCTACGCGCCACCGGTGGAGGCTATGCATCGACTGAATGAGGCTGACTGTCGGTCGCTTAATTCAGTTAGCGCATCGTCGGAGTGGGGCGTTTTAAATTCGAGCGTGGGAAAAATTGGCGAGTGTCAAAGCTATGTTATTCTGTAAGCTGTGATCTTGCCACAAAGAAGTTATAGGGGAAGCCTTTCATCGGGGTTTACAATAATCGTAGAAGCCATAATTCTTATGAAACTAAAAGTTATAATAGTTGTTTCAGCTTTATTATAATTATATTCTGTATTATTCCCTATAAATCTTACCCGCCCCGCGAATGGGTAGTCGTTTGTTATATAAATTAAATGTCTAATAATAAATTAAATTTCTAACAATTTAAAACAAGCAATCACTAAATTCCGTTAAAAAGTTAATGTGTTAAATGGCAACGCCGCATATGATCGTTAACGGTTGCCTGACGACTCGCTTTATTTTCGTCGTCCTAAACAGCAGGTTTACCTATTTTTCAATAAAAATTTAAGAAAATTTTCTTTTCTTTTTCACAATCAATTATTTCGTCCAAAATTGGTATCTGATCAGATACAGTTTTGTCGGCAAGTGTTTGAGATGCATTTCTTTGTCTGGCTGTAATGAGAAAATTCTACAATTCTGCAACCATTTTCCGTGTATTACTACATATTCAATCCGGAACAATCAAAATCACCAAAAGATTGATATATTTCCCCACTACTGTTAATAAATTAATTTAATTAATGAGGCAAACTTGTAAGTTTTTTTTTTGATAATAAGGATGTCGAAATCCTCTTCAGCTTCTTGCAAATAAATATTTATTTATTTGCATATTTATTAATTTTAGAGCATATCAGCCATTAATAACCAATAAAGGGTGTGGGTAGCAGAAAAAGTGCGATTTTGAGCAAATTTAACAAAATTGACAGTTTTAGACTGCCAATTTTGTTGGCTCTTGACCCAAAACAGTTTGTTTAGCGAAAATTTAAAAAATTTAAAAGCAAGGATTATAGAAAGAAGGGTTGTTTACTAAAAGTTAATAGCTTTTGAGTTATAAGTAAAATACCACGAACAAATCAGATTTATATTTTTTTATTTTATTTTCTTTAAGATTCTTCCACGAAAATGAATTCGCAAATCCCAGTTTCGAGCACCCAAAAACATATAGAATAGAAGAAATCAAAACTATCCCAAAACTTTCTGAGCAAGTCCAGCACTGCAACGTTATCTTTTTCGATTTCATGAAACGGACAGTACTCCGACATTTGGTAAAATTCTTCGTTATCTCTACCAGCTTCCAATGTCAGTAATGTGCTGAAAGATTTATCTTCTGAGACCGTTGCATGTTTATCACTCGGCTCCAAAATATAAGGATATAGATACTTGGATAAGTGTCCGAACCTCCTTTTCTGCTGTCTCTCTAAGACTCTTCCTGGACATTATCTATTGTTCTCGATAGGCATTTTATAGATGATTTTTTATTACTGTTTAATTTAGGCGAAAGAATAGACCAAGATTTAGGCCATTTTAATTACATTGTCAGCATCTTTCAATGTCATCAGCTGTCAAGTATGAACACAAAATTTTCTCGTAAAATCGCCACTCATGTTTCAAGAAAAAGATGAGTTGGGTGAGCAAGACTCAAAATCAGATTCATCTACAGATTTATCTAGGGAAGAAGCTATATTAGTGGCTTTAGAAGTGATGTTAATTTAGACGAATGCAAGTCTAATTCTGAAATTAATAATAATAACTCCCGTATATAGCGTTCAACGCCTTGGGAGTAGCAAGGTACAGCTTGCCATACTAGAGCCGTTCGGTATACAAGGAAGGTAATGTGGCTAACACTACGCTTCAACCGCCTATTATTAGGTACCTCAGGATTGTGAATCCCAAGTACTCATTTAAGGCCGGATTTAAGGCTAGGAGTCGACCTAGGCTAAGCCAGACTTTTTAGTCGACCTAGACTAAACCAAACCAAACTATTTTAATTCTGAAATTGCGAATGAAAATAAAAAAGATGAATTGGGGGGGGGGATTTCAAAATAGAAAATTGGTTAAATAATACAAGTGAAATTCAAATAATCAACAACAATCTAATATATGTAGATGAAATTGGTGTTGCAAGAATAGAAAATGAGAAAATTAAGCAAGATTTGAACGAGTCCAAAAATTCCAAAAAAAATTTTTCCAAAAATTCCAAATTTTCAAAAAAAAAATTTCGCAGAAAATACCTCATATTCGTGTTTCTGAGGTGGAAATATACTACCCCTAAAAATATTTGTACTTATTTAAGACTCACCCTGTATATAAAAAAACTAAAAATCTATGCCGCTATACAAGGTTTAAATGAATATGTTTGAGAAAATTCAACAGGTATATTTTAAAAAAATCGGTTTTTCGTTTTAAAATTTTTCGATTTGATTGTTTCCTTTAAAAATCATCTGCTTATACAGGGTGGTCCGAACTGTATTTCGGAAACTTTGGCAGCATATTCTGCAGATTAAAATAAGTAAAAAGTTCGTATAAATGCATGTCCTAAAATGTGTAGTTTCGGAGACACAGGGTGTAGAAATTTCATTTTTATTTCGATTTTTTCCAAATAATTTCTGAAGTAACGTCAATATTTGGGTGAAAATTGGTGTCTGGGAGTTTGTTGCCATGATCATAGATAAAAGAAAATAATCTACTATTGGTCGCATTCATCAGGACGTAGCGCTACTGCAGCGATCACTAATTTTCTGCTGAACGCGCCGATTAGTTGTGAGCGCTCTGGGATCAGTCGCCATTTTTTCCATCAGATTTAAAATACGCTACGCTACCGATGCATATGGATTAAACGTCACACACGCCAAATGTCACAAAATGTTTTGGAAAACGAAAACAAACCATTTTGTTTATTGTTCTCGGTTGACTAATCCTATGGAGTGTAGAGGTAAGGAGAAATAACTCTTACGGGACTTTTATTGAAAAAGTGGTCACAAAATGGGAAGAATAAGGGTTCGCCAAATAACCACAGTGGCGCTAAAAACGCATGATTCTAAAAAATGAAAAGTAACCATAGATAAGAGAATAAAAATAAATATGTATAACCAAACATTACCCAAAAAAAGTTTGTTTTTATTTTTCAGACAGACTTTTTGAATATAAAATAATTATTGTTTATCAATATTTTGTGCTTTATTTATTATTTAACAATGGTTAAAGCTAAAGTGTGTGTGGTGCGAAGTTCATTGAATAGCTGATGGAAAAATAAAGAGCAAAGGCAAAGCCTACGGTATGTAAAATATATAACATAATATAATTCAGTATTGTATTATTTGTATTATATGTAAAAATTAGAGTCAATCAAAAGTGTAGTAAACATTTTTCGTAAGATTATTAAACCCATCACCAATTATTACTTTAAATAAAATTTGTCTTAATTATAATTACCATTAATTTTAAGCTAAAACGATAAGAATATTTTTTCGTCGTCTTGAATGACATTTGCGAAATAACTTATGAGAAACAATAAAAAAAGGGCCTAGTCTATTGCTGCTGAATAAAAATCTATAATTTATTGCATGCAACATGAAAATAAAATTGTATTTTTTTTAAACCCGCGGCTTCGCGTTTGCTTCACGTCAAATATTTGTCTTGAATCATGTGTTCTAAAATGTTCGACGCATGTCTTAAATTTTAGAATCTTGCTACAGCAGCGCCATCCTAATTCTTCCCTTTTTTGACCATTTTTTAATGCACGGAGTTATTTCTCCTTACCTCTATACTCCATAACTAATCCCCTCGACTTGTGCCAAAAATGGGTGAAAACAATTTAATATGCATTACTTATGATTTTGATCTAACAAGCACGTTCAGCAGGACAACCAATCGATGGCATATCGCTCACTGATCAACTTGTCCTGATGAACGCAACCATTAAGAGCCATGATAAATTTGATTTTGATGTCAATATGACACTACGCTACTATACGCTACTTGTAGAGGGCGCTACCTACATATTTTCTAACTGATTTGATGTTTGATGAGTAATATCTTTTCGTCCGTACCTGTATAAAACTACTGAGTAAATAAATATACATTTACGACGTTTTTTACGTCAAAAAGGTCTCTTGGTAAAAATCGCTACGAGTAATGGTTCTCGTGATATTTGGAATTAAAATTATCAATACCTATCATCACAGATATAAATTAAACATGTTGACTAAATACGAGGAGTTATTAAACTGAAATGCTGAAATCATAAATTTGAAATGTTTTTGTGCCAAAAGTTCAACAGAGACTGTTTTATCAGCATTGCACAGCACGACAGCACTGCAACGGTATCTTCTTCGATTTCATGAAACAGACAGTACTCCAACATTTTCTAAAATTCTTCATTATCTCTATCAGGTTCCAATGTCAGTAATGTGCTGAAAGATTTATCTCCTGAAACCCTTGCGTGTTTATCACTCGGTTCCAAAATAAACGGATATACTACGTGGATAACTGTCTGAACTGTTTCCTTTTCTTCTGTTTCTTTAAGACTCTTCCTGGACATTATCTATTGTTCTCGATAAGCATTTTATAGATGATTTTTTATTACTGTTTAATTTAGACCATTTTAATTACATTGTCAGCATCTTTCAATGTCATCAACTGTCAAGTATGAACACAAAATTTTCTCGTAAAATCACCACTCATGTCTCAAGCAAAAGATGAGTTGGGTGAGCAAGACTCAAAATCAGATTCATCTAGAGATTTATCTAGGGAAGAAGCTATATTAGTGGCTTTAGAAGAAACAGAAAATATTTTTGGGTTGTTTCTAAATTCGATAAATGACTTACCAGAAAAGGTGGATACTATTAAAGAAGAAGAAAACTTAAATTCAGGAAGCGATGTTAATTTAGACGAATGCAAGTCTAATTCTGAAATTGCGAATGAAAATAAAGAAGATGAATTGGATTTCAAAATAGAAAATTGGTTAAATAATACAAGTGAAATTCAAATAATCAACAACAATGTAATATACGTAGATGAAATTGGTGTTGCAAGAGTAGAAAATGAGAAAATTAAGCAAGATTTAAACGCAAGTCCAACAACAATAGAACCAACATTATTAGAAACAGTTTCTTCATTAGAAAGGCAAGTTTTATCGAGAGTAGAAATGTTACCTGATAACAGAAAGTCAAAAATACTTCAACTGCCACCTGACTCCATTCCCATTACTTCAAGTCGTTGTGAAAAAGAACTGGTCGGTGATGACGTGGCAAATACAAAAGCTCACATAGTATGTGAATGTGATCAACCCGGAGTTTCTGGAGGGGCGGTTCCTACGGTTATATCGTTTACTTTGAATGATGCTCCTAAAAGTAAGTTTGTATATTTGTTATATTAATTGTTAATTATAGAGGGTGGAAATGATTGAATGTAAAAATATTCAGGAAGTTTAGTTTTGTTTTAAAAAAAAATAATTGTTTTTCTGTGCAAAACTTTTTCTCTTTGAGTGAGAAAAAAGTGATATTAAACATTGGTCGCCTTTAAATAGTTCAGTCATTGGGGATCAAAAAAGGGGCCTGCTTGGAAAAAAGTCCGGAAGTTTTGAAACTTCGCAGGTTTATAGGTTTTGGGGTCCCTAACTAAAATCCATAAAATGCACATTTCCAGACTTGCGCCATCTTGGCAAGATGGCGCCTAAAATCGGTATTTTGTGAATATCTCGAAAACTATGCTTTTTTCGCGAAAATTTGAGGAGAGCAAAATTAAAGAGAATAAAATTTTATATAAAAAAGGTTTTATGAAAATTTTCTCTAAAGTCAACCGTTTACGCACAAAATCTCTGGAAATTTTACAATTTTGCGTAAAATATGATATATTATGTATAGTCGATTTTCCGAAATCAAATGTCGATTAGGGTACACTAAAACTAGTTATAGTTTACTTTCTTCAATTTTGTCATGAAACAGTGGCGTATCATTAATTCGCTCATTAATTTATGAATAATTAATTGTCGTGCTGGACAGCATTTATTGCGAACTTACCACCAGGTTCAGCATTGGTCTGGCTGTACCAAAGACGCCGAAGAATGGGGTTGGAAGAAAATAAAAACAGGCATTACTCCAGTCACAACGTTGAAAGACTATTGGCATTTTTATCCTGTAAATGCAAAACCAACAACTGTGGTAAAGCCTGCGGATGCAGAAAAGCAGGATTAAAATGTTCAATGATTTGTGCATACTGCAATGAGAAATCCTGTGACAACGTCACTGAAGTGTCACTCGACGAATCCGATGAAGAGGAGTTGGACTTGCCTGTAGATATCCCTCTGGCGGCTGAAGATGAAGAGTTGGACGTATTGAGAGACCACCCTGATGAGCCCAGCACAGCAGACACAATGAGCCAGATCCGTCGGGCTTGTGCAGATAAGTTAAAGTTTTTAATTTATCTAGTGGAGTAGGCCTCTGGGGAGACACTATTTTATGACAAAATTGAAGAAACTAAACTAAAACTAGTTTTAGTGAACCCTAATCGACATTTGATTTCGAAAAATCGACTATACATAATTTATCATATTTGATGATATATCGCGAAAAACGCATAGTTTTCGAGATATTCACAAAATACCGATTTTGGGCGCCATCTTGGCAAGATGGCGGCGCCGGCGGCAAGTCTGGAATTGTGCATTTTATGGATTTTAGTTAGGAACCCCAAAACCTATAAACCTGCAAAGTTGCAAAACTGCCGGACTTTTTTCCAAGCAAAAATCCCCGATGACTGAACTAAAAAGCAAGTTACTCCTTTATTTTAAATGCAACACCCAGTATATTATTTCGGTATTTATTGGAGAATTCATATAGCTTCAAAATACTATAAATGTTGCCTACTTCTCAGACAAAGATTTTCCTAGATATTTCCATTTTTATGATTTTGCGTCAGTAGATGTTTTTTATTTGATAAAATATAGGTGGCTGTTAATTTAACAAAAAATAAAGGATATAGAGTAAAATATTCAACGGTAATAAAAAGATACAGATTTAAAACATGTCTAAACTATTTAAGCCCCATACTCACACTTCGCTCCTTCCTCGCCTTACTTCCTCGCGTTACTTCCTCGCGTTCCTTCGTCCCTTCGCTTCCTTCCTTCGTATTGTTACGTTTTTCGTCGGTTCCGTGTGGATAGAAAGTCACAATTTATTTAAACACTATTTATTTAACACTAATTAACAAAAATAATAACGATAAAAGACTTATAGAACTATTTACAAAAGATTTATAACTAAGAATTTATTTTGAATTTTAGCGCGTCAACTGTATATTTATAACTGCCCTCTCTAGGCCACTGCCGCCGGCTTTTATACCGACAGGTAAAAGAAATCTAGAATAGTCCAAAGATCGTTAGGCGCATAGAGAAGGTTTTCGAATGTTCTCGTATGTACGAGTCCATTCTAGTGGGTCTCGATTCTTCTCGAACGAATGAATCATTGCGGTGTCTATGCGATGTTAAGGTCATCCGAGGGCGGGCCATATTGTGAGGTTAGGTCGAGTCCACACCGGCTCGCAACAGTATATTCGATGCTTGGAAATTAGTCAGTTATGCAACAACACACCACAAAATATTTTTAATATAGCGGCTACATGTTTAATACGAAATATCTAGTAACCTCTGAAATTTTTAAAAAATCCGAAAGGCGCATAATTTTTATTTTATAAAACTGCAATTCTTTGTCGTGTCAAAAATAAAAATTGAATTTTAATAATATATTTTTTTTAATAAATCCGAATATTTCAGTATCATGTACAAGGTATATCAGTATGAATGTACAAAGCGAGTCAACAATAGAGTAAAGTTTATTATGTAATTTATATCGAAACCATGAAATATGACATACTAATTAAACGTTAATGATGTCAATCCCCATTTCTTCAGATATTTTTGTAAAGGCATCATGCACATTATTTCTATTTTTTATTTTTGTCGCTACGATTACATAAATATGGACATGCATTTTTTCACAAATATGAAGACAATATTGTTTTTTTCTTCCATTTTTTAGACTATTGTGTGTGAATTATTTTTATATCGACTGGCGATTGCTAGATGTACAGGATGTCCCATTTGTGTGTGTTTTATGGGCTTTCTGGTTTATGAGTAGAGATATAAAGATGCTGTTTTCACATCATTGTTCTACTTATTATGAAACTAAATATGCTACATAAGAAATAAGAAATAACTTTGAAATACATATTTATCCTAGCCTTCTTAGTTCAAAGTTATTTCTTTCTTTTACTTTTTATTTTTTAATTAGTAGAAATTTTTGCATTTTTCGATAACCTTTGTATCTCGATTATCTTATAACTTATCGAAAAGGTGAAATGGGTCAGTCATGGGCGGTGGGTAAGTACCCAATTTGTAGATAAATAAAATCTGGGTATATATGTATATACCTGTAGATTTAGATGAACATCCTAATTTTAATAAAAGGAGTTTACGACGATGGCATAGTAAATACCCGGTATAATGCCGGGAATAGAAATATACCAATATATAATATCTACAATATATATAAGAAATATTGTAGATATACTCGTATTCCTGACATTACTGGTATTATATCGGGTATTTACTATGCGGTCGTTGGAAATACCTTTTATAAAATTAGACTGTTCATCTAAATGTACAGGTATATACCGGATACCCTGATTTTTGTTTTGTTCTACCTATTGAGTACTTACCCACCACCCGTGTCTCGTTTTTCAGGTAGAATGGCAGTGACGAAAGTGGTTCTTCGTTGGGAGCTGTCTATTTCGAAAAATGACTCAAACTTATGTTCTTTTTTTTAAACAGGACACTCCATAGACTTAGAATAAAAGTCTATGGGACACTCTATATATTATTTTTTATTTTTTTATTTTATTTACCTTGTTAATTTTTGATTAACGAGAGCTTTCGAAAATTATAATATGCTCTATATTTATTTATTTAGGTACTGCTAAACTGCTAAACGGCTCTTATTTTATTTAACTTAATTTTACCAGATAATTTTGCTTTGCATCGTGATATTTTGATAAACTACACGGAAACTGAACTTGTGCTGCTTTTAAATAACATGCCAATAACCAACATTTTACGTCGAATAAATTAGTTGATTGTTTTGATTACCTAATTTAAACCGGCCGACTATGTAATAAAGTTAAATAATGCATTTTTACCCCGTTTATGAAAATAAGTATTTTAGAAACGTCGTAACAAGGAAAATAAAATAATATACAAAATATCGTATTTAAAAAAACATATAAGTTTTAGTCAATTTAAAAAAAGACGTCAGAGTTACGTCACTGCATTCTACGTAAAAAACTGTATGGGAGACTTTTTTCACCTTTTCGATAAGTTATGATACAAAGGGGATCGAAAAATGCAATAATTTCAGATTCGCCCTGTATTTTAGGAAGTAAGAGAGCTAGGACATATCTGTATGTAGCATCTTTAGTTTCATAAAAAAGTAACAGCGTAATGTGAAAACCGTATCTTTGTATTCCGACTCATAAACGAGAAACCCTGCAAAACACACGAAAATGGGGCACCCTGTACAGACGTACTGCCAAATCAAGAAATCAACTACGAATGAAATCCAAGATCGATTTAAATATTTTATATATTTTAATATTTATTTTGTGTTCGTGATAATTCCTTTGCTACTTCCTCCAAAAACCGACAGTACGTGGAAGGACCGTTTCGAGGAAGTAAACGGACGAAGTAGCGTTTTGACGAAGGAGGAAGGAACACACAGTCGCATAAAATCTACATTTTCCCATAGTAAATATATGATTTTTGAACGAAGGGACGCGAGGAAGTAACGCGAGGAAGGAGCGAAGTGTGAGTATGGGGCTTTTAGAGAATTAAAACTAGATATAAACGTATTATTATGTGACAAAAATTAGCTAGATGAATCAAATGCTCAAAATGCTTCTTTTCCTGTTTACTGCATAAAATGATTCTCTTTTCAAAAGATCTTTTCATGTTAAAGGCACACACTTCGAAAATCAGCCACAACTATTTCTCTCATGTTGTCGACTATACAGGGTGTCCGGAAATTAATGCAACAAAATTTGGTCATAGATTCTTGAAAAAAATAGGTCACCCGTATTTTTTTATTTTTGGCCAGTGATCCCCTTTTCGGATTTACAGCCTCCTGAATTTCGCTCCTAAAAAGATTTTTTTTAATATCAGGGCCCTGTTGGACGAAAATCACTAAATTTGGTACACGTTGTTTTACCATAAAATTACATTTTTTGATGCTATTATTTTTTTATTTTCATCAGTGGCGTCCCTACGGTATTTAAACTAAATATTATTGAAGAAAAAAATGGTACGCCACTGTTTTTTTTTTTAATAAAAATTATTTTTAAAATCTACATTAAATTTGGAACATATTATATTTGATCTCTTGATTTTTTTTGGTACGACGACGCGCCGTTTTCCCGTAAAAAAATAAAAACCATTTTTATACCTGACCAAATCGCTAAAATTTTAATGTAAATTTTCATAGCAAAATTTAAAAAACGGCAATTTAGGTTTTTGGGCATTTTGGTTCGCACTTAGGTAATAAAACAAGATTTTTGAAAATAAAAAAATATTTTAAACTTAAGTTTGCCGTTTTTTTTTATTTAGTCATGTATGAAAATGGTTTTTATTTTTTTACGCGAAAACGGTGCGACGTACGAAAAAAAGTCAAGAGATAAACTTGTCCAAAATTTTATGTAGATTTTAAAAATAATTTTTATTTAAAAAAAAAACCAGTGGCGTATCATTTTTTTCTTAAATAATATTTAGTTTAAATACCGTAGGGACGCCACTGATGAAAATAAAAAAAAGTTAATAGCATTAAAAAATGTCATTTTATGGTAAAACAACGTGTACCAAATTTAGTGATTTTCGTCCAACAGGGCCCTGAGATATTAAAAAAAATTCTTTTTAGGAGCGAAATTCAGGGGGCTGTAAATACGAAAAGGGGGGCCACTCGCCAAAAATAAAAAATACGGGTTACCTATTTTTGTTCAAGAATCTATGACCAAATTTTGTTGAGTAAAGTATACATTAATTTCCACCCTGTAGTTGATCGAATTTTATAAATATTATTTTTAACATCATAAAAACGTCCAAACTAGATAAGTAAAGAGCATTTCAATATTCTATTAATTGGTGAATGCACACTGCAGTCAACAACTAATAGAATCATATCAATTTGGATAGTTTCCATTTTCGGCAGATTTCTGAGAATTTTTTTCTTTTAACTGAAAATGATAACTAGTTGTTAAGGTTGAATTAATTTGATAGCTATGTTGAAGCAGCGTCAGACTTAATGACTAATGACAGATAAAACTTAATGTGATAAACAAAATCAATGTCAAACCACTATCAAAAAATCTTTATTTGTGACCGGTTTCGGTTATTCAGCCATCATTGATTATATGCTAGAAGATTTTTATTTCAAATTATTTAGTAGAAAAAAATAGTTTGCCAGATATAAACAATTTATTTTCTTTTTTCTAAATGACCGAGCAATACTTCTTTAGAAAGCAGAATATAAAATATCCAGTTTCTTCAGCTAAATACATAAATGATCATACTAGAATCACATCAATTTCTAGATAAGAAGTCTGATAATGCAATTAATAAAGAACAAAAAGAAGGGGTCCAAAAAGTGGAACAAAAAGTTTCTAGACCAAAAGCCAGCTTAATTCCTAAACTCACAAACTCCTATCGAACGAACAGATTAAATGCTAAACCTCCAAAACAACCTAATTACGAAGAGAAATTCGCGGAACACGACAAAAATATCACGTCAAAAATGCTGGCTTTCCAACAAAAAATCCGAGAAACGTCGTCCCTTTTAAAAGCCAAAGTCAGCCAAAGCAACGCTGTCGAGAATAAAAAATCCCCCGATCAAAACGATCACCAGAAACTTGAAGAAAACTCCCCGAATCATCAAAAAGGCAACAAAATGATCCTGAACGAACTGTACAAAAACATCAACTTACTAAACAAAGAAGCTGTTAACTTGATCAACATAGAGAACGAAAACAACAAAACTTTCATGATAGATAATATAGAGAACCTGATTTCGAGTTTGAAAGGCCTGATTGGTCAGTTCAAAGAGGGCGAATCGAACTCCGAAGATAGAGTGAACGAGTTACAGGAAAATTTAACGGCGAATAGGGACGCTGAGTCGAAGTCGAAAGCTAAAGAGAATAATAAGATACATATTAAGTTTTTGTCTAGTAAATCGGGAGCGAAAAAGCGGAAGACCAACGAACTGCAAGCAGAAGTTGTAAAGGAACCTGGCGAACCTAAGTTGGTAAGTTAACAATAATAGTAACTTTAATAATGATCACGACAGAGCGTTAAGCTTCATTCAGAACCTCACAATTAGTGGAATAAATTAGTGGTTTCAATTACACTTTATACTTTTTAGTTTACGACCATTCACAATGTCTAAAAAACTACATACATTTAAAATTAATAGAATATCCTAGCAACAGCTGGCGTTAGTCAGTTGTATCCATAAAATAATTAACTAGAAAGAAGTGTCAACTCTGTGTTAAATCGTGGAAACACGATACGCCACCTTGTCTTGTTTCTACCGCCTTCGTTGTCGTCTGGAGAACTAATTTTCCAATTGACAGGTTGACATGATAAGGACACGATAGCTTAATTTTCATTTCTGTTTCCGGTTATTCAATGGCGGGCCCTCTTTCAGTTCAAATGTATTTTGTATATTTTCTTTTCATAAATAAAACCAAAAAATAATGTATTCACATATATTTACTTGAAATATGGAACAACGTGACTAAATAAATATAAAATATAGAGGATTGTATTGTTTCAATACCAATTAGTTAATTATATGTACTTTTAACGTAAATTAGTTAGGTATAAGCATGACTTACAGTAATTTGTAAATAAACAAACGTATTCGCAGACTTCAAGGACAGAAAACGGACACAGGAACATGAGAACGGGAGCCTTACACAAACAAAAACCTGAAAACAGAAAAACTGATTTTTTTAAACTAAAACCTGTGCTAAAACTAACAATGTAAAAAATATGAATATAAAATATAAATATACTAGGTCTACACTAAGATGCATTTTACCAGGAAATTTAACAAAACTTGAAAATAAAATAAATATGAAATAAACCTAATTTCCCTTTTACATTTTAAAATAAAGATAAATAGGTATAAAGAACAAATTTATCAACTAATATGTATCATAGATTTATTGTATTATAGATAAAACCACACATACTGCAGATAATTAATGTGGGTTATAGTTAAAAATGATCTTACCTTGCAGTAAATTGTTTCCATTTTCAAAAAAATCGCCGATTAAAGAGATTATAACAGCATTTTCTTGCATCTCAAAAAGTAAGTGTTTATTTACTACCTATTTTTCATATATATGGGACATACCTACTACTGCAGAAACGTCATTTTCTCCAGGATTCTTCATGTAATATATATTTGATATACTTTATTACCTTTGTATTTATAAATTTCAGCCGAAATATTAAATTGAACTTCCAAAACGAAACTATATAAACGGAGTGAATTAAAATGGCGTCGAATATATTTGTTCGATTTGTTCTAGAACATAATATGGTTGAAAATAAAAACTTGCCGCAAAAATGTACAAATTTAATAATTAAAAGGTTCTTATTCTCCCGTTCAAAATGCCAGCGATTATATACAATATGATCGAAAAAAACAGGTATGGCTTGGAAATGAAGATCGCTGTCATTTTATATATAAAATTATACTTATGGGGAATGTTATTGGTCGTCTTTTCCAAGCCAACTGGACGCCGGTTTTTTTTTTCGATCATACGATATTTGTAAGTTATTTTAAGTAATTTATTTCAAACAATGGAGAGAGGGGGCGTTACTATGAAGTTTCTGCACCGGTTCAAGAAAATTGTAGATCCGGGGCTCTGTTCACATGTGTATACGCACTTATTGAGGAACAGCCACTTATTTTATTCGAATTCACATGAATTAATTTAATGCCTCCGCTCCGGTAATTTTTCATCGGATTTTAAATTACCAGATAATATTTCTAGATTAACGAAGAAGAACGTCGAAAAAGCCAGGACTCCATGGACGGGTTTTTCCTCCCTTCCCCCGATGCCCCCAGTCCTGTCGAAGAGGACGACGACGAAGACGGTCTGGATATCACCATCACCTTTCCGGAATTCCGGCAAAACATCACCCACGAGGCGGATTCGCACGTCACCGTTTGCTTTTCGGATATCTCGGCTGAAGCACTGGGCCGGCTGAAACGGTGCCCGAAAGACTTTACGCTGCATATGGATTTTGCACAACGGAAAATGACATTCCAGACCGGGAATTTGCCGACTAATAACTTTTCTATAGGTAAAAGGCAGATATTTTTTCTGTGTATTACGTATACAGTATGTCAAAATTGTCAACGGATTGTCTTTAGAAAAAACTTGTCAAGAGGATTTTTTTTTATTGACATTTTGAGAAAATAATTCTTCATAAAAAAATGGATGTTCTATAATGGCATAAATAAAGGAAATAAATTTAGATTGGAAAGCCCATGATACAAAGAATACAAAGTATGATATTGCGCAGGTTGGTCACTACGTCACTGGTGATAAACGGGACCATTGGTCGGCAAGCTCCGCGCGCCAATTTCAAATTCTCAGATGACACATAATAAATGAAAATAAATTTTCAAATGTCAAGCTCTATGATTTGACATAACTTTTGGGGTTATGTCCTAATTCTTCCCTACTTTAAGTCTTTTTATATTAGTGGCAATTGAACAATATGGATATTTTTTTGTATGGCGGATCACGTCACAGGTGGTATGTGCAAACTTAACGAAATTGGAGTCGCTATCGATCATACCTTGTTTTCTTTGTACCATGGGAAAGCCCAATGAGGTTATATACTTTAGTAAAGTATAATTAATAAGTTATATACCCCTATATATAACCTCATTGGGAAAGCCCGTTAAAATATATAATTGTTTTGGGTCGCGACCGTTGTACGCAATCTGGCGCTGCTATAGTGGTTGCTAAGAACAACCGCAAACAAGAACAGAAATAATTTTCTCTTGTCAAAGTCAGAATCTTCAAAAATTATAATATCTTTCAAAATTTAAAGCGCCCTCATTCAAAAAATACCGAAAAGTGCTTAAAGCGTCCATTCTCAAAGTAATTATTACTATTTTGTGAGTTTAATTTAAATTTTACTTACTCAAACCCGTGATAATTGTGAAAAAGTGGCATTAAAAACTAAAAAACTGTGTTGTGAACTGTGAACTGCAAAAACCATCGTGGATCGTGGCATAACGTCGGTTTCCAATGTTTCATAGGTATTTCACATACATGTTCTTATATAAAATATAAAATAAAGTTTCTTGTATGCACCACACTGTATTTTATTTATAAAATTAAAAGAAAATAATAATAAATTTGAATAAACAATATTTGGCGACATAATTCCGGAAAAAGCCGAACCGATCCGAAATTATCAAAAGCTTTGGGTCGCGACCGTTGCAAGAATAGCGCCAAATAGTGTTTACATTGTCCTTATGGGCACTTTCCAATCTAAACTAATGGTTAATCCAGTTTATACTTTTCCAAATGTCCATTGCGTTTTAGAGAAAATTAAAAAAAAACATGAAAGTATATTTTAATTTTTTCCCAAGTCCTAAAAATCAAAACGCGTTTCTATGGCAGTCTATGGTAATGTAATTTTGTTTTCATTCTTTGATAGATTTTTATTTATAGAATTTGAATTAACATAATATTTTTTGGTGTTTTAAAATGTTAAAGAAGCACAAAATTTATTTATCTTAAATTTATTTCATCTATCATAGATAAAGGAAATTTATTGAATCAAAGCTATTCTTACAACGGTCGCTCTCCAAAGCTTTTGATAATTTTGGAGCGGTTCGGCTTTTTCCGGAATTATGTCGCTAAATATTGTTTATTCAAATTTATTATTTTCTTTTAATTTTTTAAATAAAATACAGTGTGTTGCATATAAGAAACTTTATTTTATATAAGGACATGTATGAAACCTATGAAACACTGGAAACTGACGTTATGCCACGATCCACGATGGTTTTTGCAATTCACAGTTCACACAGTTTTTTAACTTTTTAATGCCACTTTTTCACACTTATTACGGGTTTGAATAAATAAAATTTAAATTAAACTCACAAGGTAGCAATAATTACTTTGAAAATGAACGCTTTAAATATTTTCGGTATTTTTTCAATGAGGGCAGTTTAAATTTTGAAAGAATTAATAATTTTTGAAGATTCTGACTTTGACAAGAGAGAATTATTTCTGTTCTTGTTTACGGTTGTTCTTAGCAACCGCCAGAGAAGCCACCGCTATATAGCAGAGCCAGATTCCGTACAACGTGTATGCACCCCAAAACAATTATAAGTTTTGGCGGCAAGCTGAGCATTCCAATCTAAACTTGTTTCTTTTATCTATGCCATCTATTAAAGAATGAAATCTAAATTATATTACCATAGAAACAAAACAAATTATATTACCATAGAAACAAATTTTCAAACAAACCAATCAAAATTCAACCATATTTTCATGTTTTTTTTTTAATTTTCTCTAAAACAGTATGGAAATTTAGAAAACAGGATTAACAATTTTAGAACTGGCAAATTTTTAATCAAAATGTCAGTAATAAAAAGTTTTTCCTCTTGTAAAGACAATCCGGGGACATACTGTAGTTTTTCAAATTCACTGGACGTTGAATGATGAAAATGCGGTTATATGTACCATGCAATTGAAAAAAAAATGTCAGAGATGGCTTGGAAATGACGGTGGCTGTGGTTTTTTATGTAGAATTAATTATATGGGGAATGTCATCGATCGTCATTTCCAAAAGCTAACTGGACACCGTTTTACGACGAGTGATGGACATCTAAAAATGTTCTATGGATATTGGAGAGTATATAGAGGTAAGGAGAATCATCTCGTATGGGATTTTGTTTGAACAAGGGGCCACCTAAAAGGGAAAAATAAAGGTTTCTTGAAAACCCAAAGGAGGCAATGGAGAAAGAGAGATGTATCCTCTATTATAGATTTGGGACAACACCGGTATCAGGTCTAAGGAGAGACCAAGTTAAAGAGGTGGAGAAAATGGTGACAGATCCTCCAGCCTCTCCCTCACGGGTACCTCAGCCGGAGACAAGTTCCTTGATTGTGAAAGGTACGGAGGGCCAAACCCCCACCGTAGGAGATAGATGCCCATTCCTCGGAGGTTGAACATGTGTTGTCAGAAGAGAATGGGAAATACCCCTACAACAGGAAAATCGCCATATATGATGAGGTATAGACTTTGTATGATGAGTTATAATTCAAGAAAGGGGGACACAATAGATCTTTAAGGTCGCGGTGATTAATCCCTCTCTCACTCATACTACATTATACAAATGACCACAGTGCAATGCCGGGTCGGACTGGGCCAGAGAAGCCCGGGTGGAATTGTGAGAAAGGGCCCGGGTGGATTTTTTTGCATATTTGTTTGCCTTACTTTTTGGTCAATTTTTCCCTATTGATTTGATGTTAGTGTTTGAAATCAGGGAACTACCCGTCATACAATGCAAATGTATGTAGGTAGATATTGTTAACCCAAAAAATGGTTTTGGGGATAACCTCAGAATATTACCGTCACTTTTTTCTGTTTTATTTCTACACTGAAAAAAAAACTACAACTTTGTACTTAGGTTTTTGTAAGCATAATAGTATGACACACACAATTTGTAATAATGATTTTCATTTAAATTTCAACGAATACAATCTGAAGATTCTCTGACACAAATTGGGAGAATTACCACCACACTTATTCGCTATTTTAATATAAAATCAAGCATATTTAACAATTTTGGAGATCTGGTGATCTGGTTAACAGAGGGGAGGGGAGCGCAAAGGCTGGAGCCCGTCTAGCAATCGCCACCATGACTATATGGTCAATAGGACCCTAGTGCAATAACCAATAAGCAATAATGAATCGAACTGAACATGGCAGATATAAATAAAGTAAAGTTAGTAAACAGTTTGCTATAGCAGCGCCATCTTAGTTGTTCCCTGTTTGTTGATAACCACTTTTTATTTCACAAGATAATTCTTTTTGCCTCTACCTCTCGTCTCTACCCGTCATATTATGAAGAGCATTCGGATGTATAAGAAGTCTAGTTAAATATCTTAATGCGCGCCACTTTCTTTAATGGAAATGAAAACTTTATGTATGTTTCCTGTTCTAATTCGAATAGGAGCCGATTTGAAAGTGACTGAAATCCCGGTCGATACCAAGAAATCGGACATAATCAGCATCAAACCGTCGACGGAATGCACCTACGCCTCGCAAGTCATCCCCGTCATCGAAGGGCCGAGAAGAAGTTCGGTCAAAACCCTAAAATCCACCGATTCCGAGCTGTTCGACGTGGTCAGTTTGCCGTTCCTCAATCGCAAATCCTCCGTCACGACCAGGTCATGCATAACGTTCAAAAACAGCGCCGCAACGCATCCCAGTTCCTGTCTGTTGCTGGACCGGTTGCGCTACAGGAGCATGCCGCAAATACCGAGTCTGCCCAACATTTTCGAGGAGCCAGGCTTGGAAGGGACGTCTGCAAGTAAATCAGGTGTGATTTAACTTATCTAGGTTCGATGTAAGCAATCTAAGACAGATTCATTATAATATACTTCATTCTAAGATGCGCAACCTTATGGGCGATTTCGTGGCACAAAACATGTCCGAGATGTAGCTGGCGTTACCGTCAGCCTGTCCGAGATCTAGTTTAGCTTTGCGCCGCTGCGCGCTGATAGTCATTTACATACCGTAGTTCTACTTTCGACAGAGTGGGGTTGCCGGAGACAGTGTTGCCAGAACTACGCATTAATCCGTACGGATTTTGGGTAGAGTACGTTAATAATACGGATTTTCTATCAGTGGCGGCTCGTGACCCGTGTGACTGGGTAGGCGACAAAATTTTAGTTGTGTCTATTTGCCCCCTCCCTCTGTTTAGATTGAAAGTAAGGGAAGTGGCGATAAACGTTTATTTTTGATGGAATCTACTATATCTACTAATCTATTATAAATTTTAATGCATTTCAAACATGAAAATTGTTTCTCAACCCAAGTACTTGTAAATGGTGTAGTAACAAACAAAACAAACAATTTAAAAGCCTCTGGAAATATATTTCCAGGATTATTCTCCTTAAATTATTTTATAATCGAAATTATCAAATCTATTATTAATACCTGCAATTTATTCATTAATTTATGTTGGTCAATAACATTTTTTGTTTGTTAAATCACTATTAAATCATTATTAAATGCGTTAGCAATGTATCAATATAACAAGTTTGTTAAATCAGATGTTAAATGCGTTGGAAATTTTTTATAGGATTCTTTAAATTTCGGATCCGGAAGAGAGAAATAAAAATAATTGAGACATGTAATACCTATATGCAAACCTTATTTCTAAATGTATAACAATGTTATTTAATATTTCATTAAATAAAATTCGCAAAGATATATATTTGACTTAGCCGCTTTTATTAACATATCGAATTGAAATAGCACACTGAGACTTTTCAGAAGTGTCTAGCCCCAGCAGGCAATGATTAAGCTTGACCATCAGGTTGGTTAGCGTGGTTATTTGGAGGGTGTTAATTCATATGTGTTTGGTCAAAAACTCTAACGTGATTAGTTGGGTTTAATAGTTGCCTGCTAGGGCTAGACACAAGTGACTTTTCTGTAATATCTGTTGTATCGTCTTCTTGCACCGAATAAAATAACGCGCTTTTTTATTTCGGATTCTTTTATTTCTGTGGTGTATTCTGAAATACAACCGGTTATATCATTTTTAATAATCTCGGACAAGCTCGAAAAATGTTTCCAATTTACTTTAAACGTTTTTTGAATTTTCATATAAAAGTTTTAAATACTACGTATAATGAATCATATGAAATATCCCCTTAACGAAATGTGATATATCCCCTTATGAAATATCGAGAATATCTAACTTCTAAGCCTACCGAGTCTCCACGACTTCATGCGAAGGCGACCGGAGATATCGCCTAAGCCCCGCCTTAATACGATACAACTCCGACTTACGTCGCGTCACTACCGCACGATGAGTTAGACAGAGACAGAAGACTGCCGTACGTCGTACATGGACTCTGATAGTAGGCGATGTAGAAATTGCCGAACAAAGGCACTCCAACGGTCAAAATTATTTTGCTTTTTAACGCAGCGGCACAGTCAGCGTACGCCAGCTGTAGTGAATATTTTAATATACAAGACCACAAATATATACAAAACGAGAACAATACACAGCTATACCAATCCAAATTAAAGAATATTCTTCAATGTCTTGAGACCAATCCAGATGTCGAAACTGAATACGAAACCATTAAGCGTGCAATACACCAAGCTGCCAACGAAACCCTAGATGAAGTAAGAAGTAGTAATAACCAACAAAAAACGTGGCGAACCTTATTGGATGACAGATGAAATTAAAAACCTTATAAAAATAAATCCTACCAGAAATGGCTGACTCAAAAAAGTCCTCAAAACAGAGAACAGTACAAATTAAAAGACCGTCAACTAAGATCAGCTATAACAGAGGAAAAAAACATATCTTGGGAAAATAAATGCATTGAAATTGAAAACGCCGTGGGAGAAGCACAAATAGTGAGGCATGGAGAGTAATAAAAAAGCTAAAAACAGCAACTACAGATAATTGGATTAGTCTAGACAATTGGCAAGGCATGTACACTATAAGACTTTATTTGTAGAGGGAAGACCGGAATTTACTAGCCAAGAAACGAAGAAACGCCTACTATTACTCCCGCCAATCAGTTAACAGTCGAGGTTTCAGAAGTGAAAAAAACCCTAAACACTATTAAAAATGGAAGATCGCTTACTAGACCAGACCCAAATCAAATTTCTCATGTCAAAAAACTCCCAGACACCAATTTTCATTCAAATATTGACGTTACTACAAAAATAATATAGAAAAAATTGAAATAAAAATGAAACTTCTACACCCCGTCCCTGTATCTATGAAACTAAGCATTTTAGGACATACATTTATATGAACTTTTTTACTTATTTTTATGCTGCATTGGCTGCAGTATAAGTGTGGTATAAGTTTCCGGAATACAGTTCGGACCACCCTGTAGGGAATGTAGATCTAGAGAAGGCATACGATAATGTATGTACCACGCTGGAAATTTTGGGAATATTACATGTTCGAATACAACTCAAACGCATTTGTTTTTTACTATTTTTGATAAACACCTAGTATTAGTTTTGTAAATATGTTAAAATTATCCTACTACCTAATGTATACAAAATAGAAAGTTGATCACGAAGGGATGCTTTCACACGCTTCGCTAAGTTGACCTGCAAAACACTTAAAATACCACCCTTGACGGCCATGTGTTTTTTTGTCTTGTTCGAATGGCAGATCTTAACTTTCTATTTTGTCACGAGGAGACGCCGGTGAACCCTCTGAGGCAGCATCACGCCTATTAATTTGGTCTCTGAATTGTACATTTTTCGCTAATTCTCGCAATATTACTCTCGCCTCAGTTAGGCAATGTTATTTCTCTCTCTCACCTATTTATTGTAGGTATTTTATATATCAAGTTTACCTTTAAGTTAATGGGAAGCTGCAGTGATTTTGTCTAATTTCAATTTGATTTACCGTTTTTAAAGTTTTACCATTTGCCAATATACGTGTTGTTGTTGACCCTAGTAGTTTTTTTTGCGACGTGTACTGGATCCACTTTGAAAATAATTACACATTCGAGAGTAATTTGAACATTACTCTCAATTTTGAATTTGGTGCTCTCGAGCAGTAGTACCGATACATTACAAATATAATACATTTTAATATGGCAACACTGTCACTGTCTGATCCACCCCCAAGGTTATCCACCCCGTCTTCGATATACCTTCGCCGGCCGAAGAGAAAACAAGTGTTTTGTGCGTTGACCGCAGAACGATTGGTGTCTCCACCGTACAGCACTTGAGACGTAAGGGGAAATCAAATCAGCCTGGTTGCGAATTTATCCATTAGGTTGCGTATCTTTTCAATTCTTTCAATCAACGCCAGTGGCGGATACAGAGGGGGGGCAGGGGTTGAGCAAACCAGTTTGCGCAAATTAACTGAGAGTCTAAACGGCCCTGTAAGCAAGATCTAAGCCATCTTCAAATATTTTATTATGAAAGATGGTTTGGTTGATAATCTTTGTCAATGTCAACATTTGATGAATTATTATATAGGGTGAGTCTTAAATAAGTGCAAGTATTTTTAGAGGTAGTATATTTCGACCGCAGAAACACGGTTATGAGGTTTTTCCTCAAAAAAAATTGAAAATTTGGAATTTTTTTAAACAATTTTTGGATTTTTTTTTAATTTTTTAGTTAAAAAGCATAATTTCTTGATAATATGGCAACATAGTTAGTAGATTAAATTTACAAGAAAGAAAATCCAGAAAAGATTCATTGGTTCTCAAAATTTAAAAAAAAATCATTTTTTTTGGAAATTTTCAAATTAAAATAACAACGGTTATATTTCGGACTTATTTGAAAAACGGTAAAGAGAAAATAATATGTTTCTTTTATCGACATCTACTAGCCCTGAAAATATTTGCACTTTTTTAAGTTTCACCCTGTATAAATAAAACAAAATTATTTTTCTGCAAAACTTGAATTGATGAGTCCTGTAAAATTTTTCCAAAAATCATTCTTTCTTAGCTTTTGAATGTTTTTTCTTCATACTGTCACAGTCTAGAGTATCAGTCAGAACAGAGTGAATATTGAATAAGCCCAAATATTTTCGGAGCTGGTAGATCTCGATAAAAGAAACATATTCTTCCTTTGTGTCTTTATCGTTTTTCAAATAAGTTCAAGTTAAAAAGTCCAGTTTTAAAGAAAAATATTGTTTGCTGAAATTTTGAGAACAACTGGATTTTTTCAAAAAATTATGTTTTTTTTGTAAATTTAATCTACTCCCTACAGTAGACCCCGGATTATCTTTACAAAATGAAAAATATTTTTATTATTGACATTTTGAGAACAATGCATTCTTCATAGAACGTTTTGCTTGTTCTAAAATTGTTAATCCCATTTATACTTTTCCAAATTTCCACACCGTTTTAGTATGGCTGAATTTTTAAAAATTGATTGAAGTTCAAAAAATTAAAAAGTTTTTCGTTGGTAATATGTGGTGCCCGGTGGCGTAAAGGTACAGCCACGGCATATAAATCACACGGCAGGCTAAAGCCGGAGTCTCATGCATCCGAAATCCGATGACACGACGATCCGACGGTGCTCCTATTGGTCGAAATATTTTGACAACAATTTTTATCCGATAATTTTAACTAATCATCCGACGTCGTATAAAGTTAAATTTTGTTTAACTTTTGTACGATATCGTGTGTTTTTTAACCTCACTTTTTTTAAAACATTTGTTTTTAAAAACAGTTTAGTGGGAAGTGGGCAATTTCGGGATATTTGGCGAGGAAGTTATTTTTTATAAGTGTTTCTCCAATAAAACATGACATGAATCTCTATTCAGCGCAGCAGAAAAATGTTAAAACTGTCAAATTTCGGAACGAACTTTCGGATGTATGTGACAGGCTTTTTTTATTTCACACGGTAACTTCAAATTTCGGATGTCGTACCATCGGATTTCGGATGCATGAGACTCCGGCTTAACTCTGCCTAGTTCCCATTGTTTTAAATTTCTATAAAATTTGACCTTGAAAACACCATTATGGGTGCCGAGTCAGGGCCGAATTAAAACGTATCAAAAAATTTCCCAGAAAATAAACTATTGATAGATAGGGTCGTATTAAAAAAATACTGTAATTGACTGAAACTAAATTTTATTTACACAATACTTTTATCTAAACAAATGAATCGTTAACCGCGCATACTCCTCGAAAAGTAACAATGAAAAAATCAATTAAACATTTAACTGTAGAGAATAGACAATTAAAATTAAAAAACATGCCAGGAGTTACAAACAAGAATTAAAGAAATACCCAATAAAATATCTATTGAACAATCTAAAGAGGCTACGTACAAATTATGTCCATCAATGGACATAGCAAATTTTGTTAATATTCATCATAATATAATAATAATACCGTATGATCGAATAAAAACGGCGTCCAGTTGGCTTGGAAATGACGATCGATGGCATTTCCTATATAAATTTACATATAAAATGACAGCGATCTTCATTTCATAGCCATCGCTGACGCCGTTTCTATTCGATCATACGGTATCATCAAGTGCAATTTTATAATAGTGGTCGTGATAATATTGTAGGTTTTGAGGACCAGAAGGGGAACCGGGAACAGAGAGTTTAAACAGCTCGGGTGTCTAATGTTGTTATGGTAAGAGGTATCTCTACCAATGGGAAGCAGTCCAAAGCTTATTTTACAAGCTTTTATTTAACTTGCTTTGTATGTTTGTTCGGGGCAAATCTTTAGAAGCACTTCCTTTCATTGTAGGAAATTGAAATTTGGCATGTAGATTCAGTCCCGATTACAATACATTTTCTTGCAAAGCATGATCCAAATTTTTGACAGCTGTCAAAAAAATTTCAAAGTTATCCGATTTTGATAAAAATCGATATATAGGATGGCCATGGGCTAAAATGAAAGAAAAAAAATAAGCTGTTAAATTTGACAGCTGTCAAAAAAATTTCAAAGTTGTCCGATTTTGATAAAAATCTATATATAGGATGGCCATGGGTTAAAATGAAAGAAAAAAAATGTGCTGTCAAATTTGACAGCTGTCAAAAAAATCTCAAAGATTTTGATAAAAATCGATATATTGGATGCTCCCTACCCCATAGTCGGTTTTCATTTTTCATTTCGTTTTTTATTTGTCTTACATTTGAACTGTCAAATTTGACAGCTGTCGTTTTTTTAAGTAATCCTTTTTTAATGAAAATCGATTTACATATTATTAGGATGCCCATAGGAAGTTATTTAAGAAAAATAATTGAGTTTAAGTGTGTGGCACTGAGAAACCAGCATAACTAAAAAGTAAAAAATAAATTTAAGAAAAAACCCTTTTTAAAAACAAGCTTTTATTTAAATACATTAAAAAGAAAAAAATAAACTTTTATTATGGACTTATAACGTCATTACAGAATTTTATATTATATAAAAGCTTGCCGCGAGATTTGAGTGTACAGGGTGGGTCAAATTCGACGCTTTTAAATGGAAACACCCTTTTTTATAGGAGATAGACGAAAACTAATATGGGTGTCTGGAGCTCAATTTTTGTCAAAAACATGATGGTGAAAACCGCATATCGATATCCGTTACCGTTTCGGAGTTACGGGGTGTTTTTCCAAAATATGCACTTTTAAATCGCTGTAACTTTTTTGCTATGGAAAATTTTGTATTTTTATGAATACATTTCCAAAGCACCTTTTTACGTAGAATTTAATGGTTTAAGTATAATTTTTTTAAAATTAATAATTTAAGAGTTATCAACAGAAAATTTGATTTTTTATATGGGACACCCTGTATATTTTTAATATATTGAAAATAATTTAAAATTACCTTTCCAAAAATATAACACAGTTGATATTTTGCTCGATTCCTCTTCGAGATATAGAGTATATAAAAATTCGCCCGCTTTAAATGAGTAGGCTTTGAAAGGCACCGCCTGTAATGCAAAAAAATCTAGCTTTGAGCATCAATTAAAACGAAAATAATATTTGCTATGAGAGATTCAGAATTTTATAACTATTTAAAATATATTTAATCAACATCAACACACATTTAAACTATATCTAATAACAATAAAACTAAATAGCAAACCAAGACATGAGATTTTGCTACAGGTGTTCGACATATCGACCGTCTTCTGTTATGGACAGACGGGGCTGTTTTTGAACATTTCTCGCGGAATTCATTAACTTAGTAGGGGTGAAAGATACCCTCTCATAACTGTTAAGTATTTCTAATTCTTGTCTAGATTATAAGGAAGAATAAAAAACCTTTATTTTTTCGCAAATATATCCATAGGATTAGATCCATGGGCACTAAGTCAGGCGGCTTCGACGGCCAACGGCTGGAGTCTTGGTTAGCTATTCAATTATTGTTGAAATTGGATGCAAAAATTTGCTGCTAACTTCAGCGCTCAGAAGCCAGCGGTGCGTCGTCTTGCTGGAAAAATATGTTTTCGTCGAGTTCCATTACGGGCATATCATCAATAAGGGGTCCAAAGCCTACTTGTTAAAAGTGACGAACTTTTAAAAATTCTGTATTTCGAAGGGAATTATAACAAAATATCAAGTGTGCTATATTTTTGGAAAGGTAATTTTAAATTCTTTTCAGTTAATTAAAAATATAGAGGGTGTCCCAAATAAAAAATCAATTTTTCCGTTGATAACTCCTAAATTATTAATTTTAAAAAAATTATACTTAAACCATTAAATTCTAGGTAAAAAGGTGCTTTGGAAATGTTTTCATAGAAATACAAAATTTTCCATAGCAAAAAAGTTAGAGCAATTTGTTAAAACTGCACATTTTTGAAAAACACCCTGTAACTCCGAAACGGTAACAGATATTGATGTGTGGTTTTCGCCATCATGTTTTTGATGAAAATTGAGCTCCAGACACCGATATTAGTTTTCGTCTATCTCCTATAGAAATGGGTGTTTCCATTTAAAAGCGTCGAATTTGACCCACCCTGTACAGTTGCACTCATAAAAATCTGGTCGACATCTTTATCTTGAAATTCTTGTAATTCCAATATCTTGTAAACCTATCATTATTCCCATCCAGGATAAATTCATCCATACACAGTTTAGAAGAACATTTAAAAAACTTTGTGTCCGAATATTACACACGGGTACTGAAAATTGCCAAAATAATCTGGCAAACATCTTATTAAAAACGGCAGACTTTATTGTTTACGTCGGAATCCGTAACATTATTACAAAAAACGAGACCTCTGTTCTTTTCTCTCTGAATTATCATGAGCTATCCATAAAAATTAAAAATAGATACGGATAATCAGAAAAAAAAGTAATTTAGAAATGAATCTTGTTTGTCATTTTGCAGGATACCTAATAATAAAAATTACTTTGAATGCCGTAGGCAATGATTGAGTATTAAAACTAAAAGAATTTCGGACTTCCATTGTACTACTCAACTACAAAAACCAAATATCTCACACAATAAATAAAAATAAAAAAACAAAATATATCACTCAAGAAAAGAATGAAATAACTTAAGCCGCACGCTACTGACTCAAACCTGCCGTAACTATATGTTCTCGATGACAAAGACTACTGGTTAATTTCTGTTGCTGGCACCCATAATGGCGGCGTGCGCTAGGATATGCGCGTAGCGTTCCCGCCAAAGCGAGTTGGCCTGCCGTGTGATTTATATGCCGTGGTACAGCTCTAGTCTACCCATAAACTTAGAATAAAATATTTTATTCTAAGTCTATGAGTCTACCGATCTAAAGGTTGTTGGTTCGAATCCTATAGCCGGCAGTTCAGCAGCTGACTATTTTTAATAAAATAAAAAATAGTTCGGTTACCTAGGTCGACATGGCCTTTGACATGGCCTTAATCTTTGGTAATACCTATTACCACTATATTCAAAATATATATTGTCAATTATTAAAATCCAAATATATATTTTGATTTCATTCTTTGATAGGTGGTTATTATTATAATTTTGACTAACGTCATATTTTTTTGCCGTTAAAGCATCAAATTTTCCGATAACTATTACCACCCTTTCCGTAGCATTGAACTAAATAAATGTTGTGTGCTTCTTTAACATTTTAAGATAGCAAAAAATATGACGTTAATTAAAATTCTAACAATAACAATCTATCAAAGAATGAAAACGAAATTATATCACCATAGCGCCTTTTGATTTTTAGGACCTAAAAATTTACTGTATTTTTATGTTTTTTTTTTAATTTTTTCTAAAACGGTATGGAAATTTGGAAAAGTATAAACGTGATGAAACATTTTAGAACAAGCAAATTTGTTTATGAAGAATGCATTCTTCTCAAAATGTCAATATTAAAAAAGTTGTTCCTTTTGTAAAGACAATTCGGAGACGATGTTTTTTTTTAATTATGGCAACATACAGTATTGCCATAATTTAAAAAAAAACATAAAAAATTTTTCGCCAGAAAGCCTCACCGGTCGAAAAATACCACCCCTAAAAATATTGGCACTTATGCCGCCTCTGATATATGCAATATACATATGTAATAATTTATATGCTGCTTAAAAAATAAAATAAAACATTAACATTTATATAGGATCAAATGGAAAGCTGCAGGCAACAAAATAGAGCAATGATGGATTTAAAATGCAATTTTATGGCGTATTTAATTTTTTATTTATTTATGATTCGTACGGTTATACCTGCCTTCTTATTATTTACATTATTAACTCGGTAAGGTTCCTGATAACATCAATAAATCTTTTAAATTTTTAAAAAACTCCATAAATATACGTTACGGCCCAATTATTACTAGAGTTTATGTTTTTTTCAAATTTATTTCATTAATAATTTATTACATTTTTTACAGCGTTAGCCTCCTCAGACAGGAAACTGCGAAATAAACATTTACAAAGAAAGAGAACAAGCACAAGCTTGGATAAAATTCATGACGTTCCATAGAGTTAAATTATAAAATATAAAATTTCTACTTATACAAATTTATAATTATTTTAGTTTATATTGATTTAATAAAAATATTCTTTTGACTGTAGTTTTCATGAGCAGTTTTCTACTAAGTTAAATTGGTTAATAGACACTCCGTTCGATAGATGGAGACTGTAGCATTAAAATTTGTTTATTGATAGCTTTGTTGCCAGTTCTATTTGACATTAATTAGAGGCATCATTTTCTATTAAATCCTATTTTTTACTAAATATAGAGTAAATTATTTGGGTTTATTTAAATTTTTGTAACGCGTTGGGCATGTTATTCCAATAATCGATGTAAAGATAAATTTTGTTACCAAACAAGGTTCTAAAATTTGACAGTTCTTACAACAGTGCATTTAATGAAATCAAAATGTTTTTGGCCTTCGCCGATGAGTCAGAAATCAAAGAAATAAACTAATTTAATTGTATCTAATTAGTGTTAATTAGTGAAAATTGACTGTTCGTATCGTGGTGCCTATGTTGGGAAACTATCTAGTTAAATACGGTATATAGTTCTTAGCCAAAATACATATAAAAATCGATGTGCAGTGAATCTTCCCAGCTGTATAATTAACTGACCTTGTTAGATTGCAATATCAAAATCATTAAATAAATAAACAAACAATAGATAAACAGAAGCGTACTATACAATGAAACCGCCGGAGTTTAATATTGTTGGACCTTAATCATGTATTTTGTGGATACAATGTGTAGAAGTTCAGTAAGGAATTAATCAGGAAAAATGAGTAGAGGTTACTACGAGAACACAGATACTCCTTTCTTATATACGGTAAGTTTCTAATTATTTCTGTACAGATCTAGTGATACCTGGTTTACTTTAAAGCAGTCTTATCACCTTTAATTCTATAAACATTTGTATATCTATGATTGTTGACATTCTAGGCCTGAGGCCTGAAGTATTGCGTGCGTGAGTGCATGTATGTAAATGTTTCACTCAACATTTGGACTTGAGTGAGTGACATTGAGCTTGAATAGTTTGTCTACATAATGTAAATTTTAAATTTGTTTATCTACGTATAGTTCAATGACATGTTGTTTACATAATGTGTTAGCTTCTCGAATATCTATCTATATGTATAGTTGATTTTAATTAGATTTATATTCACTGGAAAGCTTTTCACACAATATTACACATCTTTGATGCAGTGAATGCAGAATTAATGAGAGCTAAAATTAAAAGAACATGTGATATATTGGTAGAATATTTTTCATCAATGGGTTTATCTATGAATACATCTAAAACGCAGTGTGTAGCTTTTGGTAACAGAGCAGATAATGCGTTTACACTTCAATATAAAAATGATGAAATTATTACAACTAAGAACGTTTCTCTGCTTGGTGTTGTCATTGACAGCAGATTGGATTGGAAAACGCATGTTGATGGTGTTGCAAAGGGGGTATTAAGACAGGGCTTTGCTTTGAGGATTGTCTCGGAGAATGTGGGTGAAGAAGCTGCATTGACAGCTTATTATGCTTTTGTGCAATCTAAAATGAGATATGGCTTGGTAATTTGGGGAAATTGTACTGATATAGGTAGAATCTTTCTTCGGTGTATTGTGGTGATTTAGTGTTTTTATTTTGCTGTGTAACACCAAAGGTTCCAACCCTCAACTGTAATAGAATCTTTCTGCTACAAAAAAGATGTATTCGTAATATATTTAGAATGAGCCGTTTAGAAAGTTGCAAGAGTGTTTTTGTAGAGAAGGGTATATTGACGCTGACAGGCATGTATGTTTACGATGCCCATATGTTTGTGATCGGTAATAGAGATCTTTTTTTAGGGTTTGTTAGTGATCACAGGTATGATACCAGAAATAGATATAATCTTGTACCTGGGAAATGCAATTTTACTTATATACAAAAGAATGCTGAGTATTCGATTATAAAAATATTTAATAGTTTCCCCGAAGAGTTGCAGGCCATGTCTCATGGAAAGATAAGAACTGTACTAAAAGATTATTTAATCAAAAAGGCATACTATAGTTTGGCCGATTTTTTTTCCGATTCGCATATCTCACTTTTTAGTGAGCATATTTATTGTTTGTAGTAATTGTCATGTAGTGGGACTTTTGAGTTAGTTGCTACTACTGTAGTATAGTATATACTATATATATAGTATGGTTAGAAAGACTATTATTTAAACTGAACAATGATTTTCGAAACATACATTTTATATTTTTTTGTTGTCGAGTGTTATTCTAGTTTTTTTCCTTATTTAAGTGTATTTATGTGTGTTTTATATTAAGTCTTAAGTTTTGTTTTTTTTTGCTATTTTTACAATGTTCCATGCCTGCGGGCTCTTGTAACTTTTGTTAATCGTAACAAATAAATGAATCTATCTATCTATCTAATCTATCTATCTATCTATTATCAGTAAGTATATGAGACAGAGAGAGAGGGAGAGAGAGAGAGAGTATTTTAACTAAATGTGGTTCTCGATGTGGTTATTAATTATAGTCCGTGACAGTCCAGTAACAATCATAATTTTTTTTTATTGAATAAACATACTTATTACTCGAACCTTGTAATGAACATTATATTGTAGAGATGCTGAAACATTATATGACTGTAAGATATTTTACCTCGTATTTTACTAGTAAAATTGTCGAAAATTGTTAACTAGTGAATTGAGATTGTGTTTAGGTGAGAAGTACCACTTTTTATAAACAAAATAATCGTATAGTAACTACTCTGAAAAAATTAACCAAAATCAGTCTTTCAGCTATTTTGTGCACAAATTCAAGCATAAATTCTAATTTCTATTTTTCTCTCTACGATTCTAACATGTTGATACAGTTTAAAAATGGATATTTTGGATTTGATAATATACCTACAGGCACAGAATATCTAGCTACGTAACAGAAGCCTCATTACATGTATAAAATTGTAGGTAGCAAAAGGAGACAGGCTTTAAAAGTCTGTCTCCAAATCAGATATTTTGATGTGCTAGTTTCGCTACTACATAATAGAGGGCAATAAATTTAAAAGAAAACAGTTTTCTACAAACAAAATTTAAAAGAATTTTGTGCAGTGTTGCCATTGTGTAATTCATATCGTAATACTTCCGGATAAAGCCTACCTTCAAATTTGCTACATCGTTTAAACATATTAAAATAGATCAGAGCTGTTTTTTTCAGTTTGCCATGTTAGTTGGAATTAAATCTTATGAGCTAAATTACAATCACTTCCTGACGTTTGATTGTATAATTGAATCCTGAATTTTCATTGTAATTCGGCGACAATATAATAAGTATTGTTCTACTATTATGATACCACTTCCTGACGTTCGATTGTGTTCATACCAAGTTCATATTGTATAATCGGGAAAAACGGCGTTAGCGATAGCTATGAAATTAATATCACTGTCATTTTATATGTAAATTTATATGGGAAATGTCATCGATCGTCCTTTTCCAGCCAACTGGACGCCGTTTTTTTCAGAAGCATATCAAGTGACACCATAATATAGTACTATATTACGATACATGGCGTTCGATTGGGCTTAAACTTGGTATACTATATCTTCAGTGACATTGTAATATCATGGTACCATGGAGCATATAAAGTGGTACCTTCTATAGTACCATATTTGATGACATAGCAATATTAGGTACATGGCGGCAATAGGGCTTAAACTTGGTATACTACGTATTTTCGGTGACATTGTAATATGATGGTACTATGATGCATATTATCTGGTACCGTAATATAGTACCATATTCTGTACATGGCGTTCGATTGGGCTTAAATTTGGGATACTACGTATCTTCGGTGATATGTCACTATGTTATTCACGTAATATTATGGTACCATGGAGCATAATAAGAGGTACCATAATATAGTACCATATTACGATACCATTTCCTGGCGTTCGATTGGACTTAAACTTGTTATACTACGTATCTTCGGTTACATTGTAATATGATGGTACTATGATGCATATAAAGTGGTACCTTAATATAGTACCATATTTCAATATCATTTTCTGGCGTTCGATTGAGCTCATATTTGATATATACTTGCGTATTTTTGATGACATTGCATTATTATGGTACCATGAAGCATATCAACTGGTACCAAATATAGTACTATATTACGTACATGGCGTTCGATTGGGCTTAAACTTCATATTATTATATTATACTACGTATTTTCGGTGACATTGTAATATGATGGTACTATGATGCATATAAAGCGGTACCTTAATATAGCACCATATTACGATACCATTTCCTGGCGTTCGATTGGGCTTAAACTTGGTATACTACGTATCTTCGGTTACATTGTAATATGATTGTACTATGATATATATAAAGTGGTACCTTAATATAGTACCATATTACGATACCATTTCATGGCGTTCGATTGTTCTTAAATTTGGTATATTACGGATCTTCTGTGACATTGCAATATTATGGTACCTTAAAGCATATCAAGTGGTACCATAATATAGTACACTATTATGATATAATTTCCTGGAGTTCGATTGGGCCCAAATTTGGTATACTTGCGTTTCTTTATAAAGATTTCTTTAATTAATAATTTTAATTTATTTTACGAATTTTAATTTATTGTTCGATGTCGTGACAGCAACTTTTATGCCGAACTAATATATTATTAATTGTACCTGTGTCACTTTTTAAAATCTACCTAGATCTATATAAATAACGTGGCAAACGGAAGAAATTTGTTATTATAGTATATTTTAGTGAGTTAACACTTTTTGTACTGCATTTTAATAAATTATTTCCATTATTATTAAACTTATATTTCATTACTAACGTTCCAGCATTAATAAATATCACTATCAATCGCCCTGTATATTATTAATTTTAAAAGTAATTAAAGGTATTTTCTTAGTTAACATTATAAGGTATAGTGTATATTAAAATGTATATGTTTTGTAATAATATACTTAAAACTATTTTAATAGCCAAAGGAATAATTAATATAAGTGTATCTGACAAGAAAAGAAGAATAGAAAGAAACACATACTGCATTATACACAATAAAAAGAATGGGATGCCA